TCATTTGTCAATTCCTAACCAGACATAGACCGGTTTTAACTTATTTGTTCTCCTCAGTGTGCCATAGGTTATGGAACAGACAAATGATAGTGGCCAACTTGCTAGTCATATATTAACTAAGGTAAATTGAGTAACGTTACTCAAGTCTGAAGTCATTGATTTTAACCAAACTCATCAGATTTCTGGTTGTACTTTGGCTAACACAACAAGTTAAATTTGCGATTCGGCTAAAAAAGTTCGTTAGTACCATTTTAGTCATATTCTGGCTTATTTCTATATAGCAACAATTCAGAGCTGGGCATATTTTCGATACAAGTATTGAAAATACGTATTTTCGATACAATTTGTATTTTATATTTTGTATCGAAAGTACCCAACTGAAATATATTTGGTATTTTGTATTGAAAATACATTTTTCCACAAATATGTATTTTCAAAATACAAAATACATACTCAAAAAACAATAAAATGTGTGTTACTCTAATCTTATCACCTGTTTCATCTCAACGACGCCAGTATGAAAAGGTAAGTGTCTCTATGCTCCGCACGATTAGGTCGTCCATCCAGTAGACTTAATGACCGGTAGACTATTTCCCCTCATTCATAAATAATCCCAGAAGGAACTCTTTAAATGATAGCATGTTTAAAAAATTGGTACTTATGAGAGCGAATAGACATATTTTGTAAATAATACTTTGATATAATAAATCACATAAATTTTTTTCTACCTTATGTATTTGTATTGCAATAAATTTTCAAAATGTATTTTGTATTTTTGATACAATGAGATCTTTATGTATTTGTATTTTGTAACGAAAAAAACGCATCCTAAATGTATTTTGTATTTTGTAACGAAAATACGCATCTTAAATGTATTTTGTATTTTGTATCGAAAATACATTTTTCCATGTATTTTGCCCAGCTCTGAGCAACATTACCGAAAACATATGCCAAGTTGTCGCCATGTTTTCTATCAAACAAGAACAACCCGAACGGCGGCCATTATGTTGATTTTCAATATTTTATTAAATTTACCTCTAAAATAACGTTTCAATTTACTAATTCGATATTTTAATCAGTTTTGATAACCCTACCATCGATTGTGCTCTTTGAAATTTCAAATGTATAGTACTAACATATTTCGAATTAATTTAATTATACTTAAAACATAAGTATTTCAGGGGCCCTCTTTATTTCTATGAGTATTTTATGTAAGTTTACAGAAATAATGCCTGCGTAATAGATTTGACCCTCTTGTTCATTGTTCATTGACCAAAAACTGTATATTATATTATAAGTATGATGGATTTCCATAAAAAGCCAAACTGCAGATTATACCTACTTTCGCCATAAAAATCATTTCGTAGCTAGCATTAAAACAGCCATAATAATCAAAAAGAAAGTCAATGTAGGCTAGTGATCATTTGGCACCAGTTACGATTCGATGGCTAGAATATTATTCCCTTGACCACCATTACATCTTTAAAACCTAATAATGCGGTTTTTATAATAGTCATACTATCAGCAAACAGTCAATCTTTCTAGCAACTGTAACATCATGAGGTTCAAACTACAATTTCTTGTGCTGCTTGGGTAGTCAGGAAAGGAATGCAAGTTGGGGCTCCTAATAGTAAAGCGGCACGTACTTTTAGAATACGTATAGTAGTGACCACGGCTTGTCGCACGTATATTCTTGATAACTCCAACTCGTATTCCTTTACTGATTACACTCTAGCGTCTCTGACTTCTGTGATTCTAATATAGATGCCAAGACCATAAAAAAGCGATTTGGGGGAACATAAATTATCATACAAATTTGTGTTTATCTTTATAATTTGACGTTGTCACGAAAATGGGTATATGAGGGAAGTGATTAAGACGTCATATGCTAAATGTCACTAACAAGTAATAATCAACATAACCAGTTCTAGAGCAGTTTATGTCAATTATGTGTGTTGTTTATGGTGCGTAATATAATATATAATAAACCTAACCTCCAATTAGAATGCAATTAGTGACAACAAGGAATGTGAGGAGCAAAATTTTGCCGAACCCACAACCAGGCTTACAACAGGAACGCAGAGATGTGGATATTGAAATCAATGTAGGGGAAACAGATTTTACAATCTCCGTTGACTTTAAAACCGGTAATGAATTGTGAATATGCCATAGAAAAATTATATTTTATTCTATGGAATATGCGAATAACCTAATCTCAACCGAAGCTGACATGACATAATAGATATGTGATAATTTGCTCGTTTTCGCGACATCCCATTATCTTGAAGGTTGTGGGATGGTGATGAAATCCGGCATAACATAACATAATTCACAATCATAATCGATAGCATATAGCACATTATAATAGTTATTACTTTACGAACATGATTATATAATCACTTAAAGTAACTGTTGAAACCACTCCTTTTTGAATATTAGAAATGATAATTTTGTGATATACATGTTTAATGACTTAATGGTCTTAGCAATTTAACGTTGTGAGTAAACGATTAAGAAGGAAAATTTATTTTTGGTATCTATAATTTATAGCTATCTCGTGTATTGGCAGAATATCAAATAGGTTTACTTTATCATAGAGGTAACTGGCTTAGGCATTATTTCTATGCTTTATAAACCAATAAAATAGAAGAATAACTTAATTCAAACAAGAATTTTGTTGTTCTGTCGTTGATTGTAGTGACCATTTGATACAATGGAAACAGGTGTAGAGGCACTTTTAACTAGTGACATAGCAGATTTGTTTCAATAGAAATAGAAACAAAATATGGCCGGTTTAGTGTGTTTCTTTTGTGATGCGGTTTCTTAAAATCGTTGTTAATAAAAACGGCTAATAATGCTTTCGGTAATATTACATTCAATATATGTATCGTATATTTCTAATGGTGGATTAATATTAAATATGGTGTTCTAGAAACTAAAAAGTAATTATTTTTTATCTTTCTTGTGCATTGATTTTTAAGAGTCGCCAAAATGGCCCAAGGGATTATTCCAAAAGCAGAAATAGGAGTTAAAATGGAACCTGATTGTACAAAAGTGTTCAAACCAGAACAATATTTTATCAAACAAGAACCTCAAATACCTGAAAAGTCTTTTAAAATTAAAAAAAGAGCCTTCAGTTAAAATTAAAAAAGAGCCTTCAGATATCTTAGTAAATAGCTATGAAAATTCGACCACAGTTAAATCAGAGGATGAAAATGATGAACTCGAACTAGAAAAAAATGTTAGTGAAAGAAGAAATAGATAGTGACTATGATGAAAACTATGAATTATCCCAGTCGGATATCGAAAAGGAGTTTGAAGCCTTTAACAAAGAAGATGAGAAGACAAACAGTGGAGTGACTACTTTAGAAAATAATACTACTGCATATAAATGTCAAATGTGTGAGGAAATTTTCACCAAGTTTCCTGATTACAAGGCCCATAAAAAACAGCATTTTATAGAAAAGCGCAGGTAAATAATTTATTTAATATATAAATATTGCATTAAGGAATCACAGCTATTTAATAATAATTGTCAATCATTTTCACAATCTTTTTGTCGGGAACAGTTATTTAAATATAAAAAGTATCGCAAAGTTCTTTTATCTAGGTGCAAGGTATGCGATATAGTATGCCAAAGCATTGGAAAACTGCAGGATCATTTGAACAAGCACTTGGGCCTTAAACCATTTAATTGTGATGAATGTGGAAAATCATTTATTTCTAAGCATCACGTAAAATTGCATAAAAGATGTCACAATAAGGAGAAGATACACCAGTGCCCAAAATGTGACAAAGCTTTTAGAAATAGAGGATCATTAAGAAGTCATCAACTTGTACATCAAGAAAAAATCAAGGAATTTGTGTGCAAGGTAAGTAACAAATACCTGTTTATGAGTATGATCACAATGGAGATTAAAATATGGTCAGTGGAAGGTGGAAACAGTCTACCATTTGCTTGTCTTTTAAGTTAAAATTTTGAAATTTGGAGGACCCAAAACTACACAACGTTACTCGCATTTTGACTTTTATTCATGCCAAATCACTTCTGGTTTAACCAGAAGTTGTCACAACTTTGTTATTTCAGATGGAACACTATATATTTTTTTTACGCCACCAGATTCTGCTTAAAATTCTCTTTCCATATGTCAATATTTTATTTTAAAATAACCTCAAAACAGGCAGTAATCGCAAAAAATTATATGGCTGATTTTATGTATTTTTTTATTTTCAGCAAGTAGACCATGATATCTACTAATGATTAAAAATCTTGCTACTGGCAGCGTTAGTTGGGAAGATTGATATAATGCTGCCACAATATCGTTTAATTTTTATGCAATATTTCTTGAAGAAAATCGTGATTTTCTCATTTTTTTAATAGCAGCCCCCGATTTTATTATCACCGATGAAACACATTAATCAGGCGTGTGTCCAAAAAAAATTAAAAGGGAGCACATGATAAAATCAACTCATATGATGTGAAGGCAAATGCAGAAGTCAGCTCTAAGTCTGAGGTGCCCCCTCAGAATGTTTTTGCAATATGTATATAAGGTGTTTCAGAATTTTGTCATATGAAAATGTGCCTTGGAAAGCTTGGTCTCTGTGGTCTCTTTTAAGTTCAGTGAGATATTTTTTTTATAACAAGACAAATAATCTCTTCTATTTGAAGCCAGCATCCAAATTATTTAACACATTTATTGAAACAAGTATAATAGATTATTACCTAATAAAATGTTAAAGAATAATATCCATGCAGTAAGAAGGATATTTTAGTTTCAGCCCCTGATATTGTCCATATTCATTCTTGACATTTGTCGACACAATTAGAACAAAGAGATTATTTGTCTTATAATAAATGTGTCATTGCTATGGATTAATAATTAATTACTACTAACGCTTTACTACAGATTTACCAAAATGTCTTGGCACAATGCATACAGTTATTTGAGAGCAGCCTACTAGGCATTTTCTATTTTATCAAATATTGCAATTTCCAAATGGCTCTGTGGTCAAGTGGTAAGGACACTTGTCTCTCACCCTGGAGACCCGGGTTCGATCCCCAGTCGAGGAGCTTGAATTTTTTCTTAACCAGAAATTAATTCTAGTATACTCAGACATTGTGTGTGTGTCCATTGTCTCTAAATGTCTCTCCCACACAAGGTACATTGAGGTACCTTCAGGGATACAGGGAGTTGTATTACTTGTGTTTAATTAATTAAAAATAACCATGTGGATCGAGACTATTTCTTTTTTTTTTTTATTTAAAAACTATAAATTCGATAAAAAAGAATTAAAGAGACAAAAGAGTTTCTAAATGAAATGAGCTTACCAAGGCACATTTTATATGATAAAATTCGGATCCGTTAAAAAATAGTTCTGATAAAGTAATAAAATAAGGGGTTGCTGATTTCACCCATTTTACCAATACAGAATGATTGAAAAAATATTAATCTCTCTATGGTTAGCCTCATGTAGGTCTCTTAATTTTTTTAACTATTGATTTGAGCTTCATGCATTCTGATGGTGAAAACGGATGTACCGATATATTTACTAGGTACTGGTAGACATAAATACATATATTAACGCTTTTTTAAAAAGTTAAGAGCTGTTGCTTGTGGCTAATATATCATATAATTATGTTGGATTAACCAGAAATAAGTGAAGGTACTTGCTTAGTTTTTCTTTCCATAATTAGAAAACTAATTTTCTGTCATTAAAGTAATCCTAAGTTTCAAAATTGGAATTAAGTAATCGTATTTACATATCTCTCAACATAAACAACTTATAACAAAATAATCCAATTTGCATGCGCAGCAATTCTCATTACAGTCTAGAGTGCGGCAATTAATGATTTATTTTGGCGAATTACTAACTCATTTTAGAATGCGAGAGTAATTGACCTACATAAAACGTTTACCTTTCTTGAACTATTTTTAAAGAGTAATGGTGAATTTTGTGTATTGGGTAATCCTTTATGAATACAGTTCAACCAGGGAGTGTAATCTCCCAAGTTAAACGCCAAAACACTAGCACAGCGCTATTTCCAAATGTTTGTGGTACTAAAGTCAGGTATGCGCAAATTGAAATTAAATACAGAAATATAACTTTTGTAAAGAAATTTTTATTTGTCAAACTAACGACGACGGGGGGGGGTGGCACATGCCCCTGTGTCCTCCCTGTGGATTATTTGATATTTGAACAAGTAACTACTTTAATGAAGAAATAATTAATGATAAGGAAAAGAAAGGTATAAAAAAATTTAGCAAATGTTTCAGTTTAATAATTGTTCAAAATGTTGTCCGCTTTGGTTTCTGCATAAGACTGCCCTATCCAGAATTCCTTGCATGATATTTTCTAAAGTTTCTCTGGTTATGTCATTAATGGCTTGTCACATACATATCTCCAAATCTCCCTGTGTAGTAGGAGCAACCGATGTACTTTATTTTTTCAAGCGTCCCCACAAGAAAAAACAAGTGAGATCAAATCAGAGGACCTAACAGGCCACTGGCAGACAGGGGCCTGTGTCCTGGGTCACCTTTCTCCAAACCTCTGATTTAAGTAATCCACAACTATTCTTGTTATGCGGCAGAACCCTATTTTGTTGGAAATAAATTTTCTCTTGGGCCAACGAATTTCATTCATTAAAAACCTAAGTACTGTTCGCCTGTCAATGTCTCGTCAAAAATAATTGGTCCTATTAATCTTGTTCCAAGAATTCCCATCTATACGTTAAACCCGAATCTATCCTAATATGCAGTCTTTCTGAAGAGCCTTTGATTTTCTTGGGCCCAGTAATGGATATTTTGCCTATTGAATAAATCTAGGTTTGTAAATCAAGATACATCAGAATAAAATACCCTGCGTAAAGTTGGTGGTGCAATTGGTATTTCAAACTTTTGTTACAATGCTTTTTCAAAACTCTACGTACTTATTCATGGCTGATATCAAATTGTTGAGTAATTTCTCTTAGAGATATAGTCTCTGAATCGTACTTCTAAATTAAATTCAGATTTTCAGTTTGAACAAAATCAATATTTAAAAGGCAAACACAATTTTCTTTGGCAGAAATTGTGTTTGCCTTTTTTAAATATCGGTTTTGTGTTTTTGGAAAATGTATAAATGAAATATTTTATGATTTTTATTTATTAACCATAATTATACATATATTATTGTATGTTCATTTTGGTATATGGTGAAAAAAATAACAAAAACAAAAAATAATTGTTTTAACTCACAGTAACAAAATATTTATAACGATATAAATATTATTTATACTAGTCGCTTCCCACTAAAGTTTCCGATTCAAGATTCGCTGAGGTGTAATTTTGCAAAAGTGATCTGAAGTCTTTCATTTGCTTAATATGTATATTCAGCTTTACATGCAACACTAAAAATACAAATTTTAGAAACCACAAAATACCCACTGAAAAATTAGGACTTATATAGTCACATGTAAATTAACTCGTTAATATTACGCCAACAAAGTCTTCTCATAAAATTCTTTAAAATTTATAGAAAAATACATAAAACTCCGTTTGTTTGATACATCATTATGGAAATGGCAAATTGCAACTTTTATTTTCTTAAGAATTCTGCTAAAAACAATATGCTGCTGCTCATTTGCCTCTACATTTACCATCACTTGGGCCAAGATTATTTCACTTTGTTTTCAATCAACAATCAAATCAACTGAAATAATGTAATTGTATATATCATTATCTACGTAATTTTTTTTATTTTCAATAGGATAAGATTAAAATATACAATAGTCAGATAGTCACTGAATATTGTTATTAAAGTTATTATAATATAATAAAACAATTAATAAATTAACAAAACGACAAATTGTTTATGAGTGTGACAGTTGTTACTCTAATTCGGAAGTGGGAGACTAGGTTTTTCTAGTAATCTTCCGGGTAAGCTACCAGTCAAGAATATACAGATATTTTTATATTAAACTGATCCTATAAAATTAGCTACACATAGAACATAAAGAAACATATAATAAAATATCATTTACAATCAGAATCTAATAGCTAAAACACGAAACCTGTTATATAAAATTACGACCGGTGACCGTGGTAACCGATAGTAGTTCGAAAGAGATATTGCATAGACAAAAATGTTGATGTATCAGCAATGCTAGTTTCAGACCAGAGACATGCAAGTTTTATAAAATCACCTTTGAAGTGTTTGGAGCAAACAAATTTATTCTCTGACCACTGCCAGTGCTCGTCTTTCCCAAGAACTTCCTATCACTTTTCCAGTATCTCTCCTTTAGGAAATCTAAAACATGTAATTTGTAGAACTGAAAAAAATAACAGATCAAAACGAACTTACCTATGAAAAGTGATCCCTTTAGGTTTAAAACGTTTTACGTTAGAACATCCCTCCATCGCACAATGTTTTTTACGAAAGTACCAAATACAATTTGCACACTTAATAAAAAAATATATTATTTTCACTACACAAAGTATTAAAATATCCTTTCGTAGTAATAGAAAGTCGCAATAAATTTATATAATGAAATAAATCGCACTATAATCACAGAAAACTGAACAACCATTAAATGAATGATATTTTGGATTCAAAATGGCGGCGCTCATGGTGTCGCCAGATTTTTTGATGCGCAAAGAGTAATCAAGAGTATTGTCCCTACTCTTCAGATCCGTGGTATCAAGCTTCCTACATTCTTCTGTCAATAAATAGCTGAACTAAAATAATTTAGTTTATTTCCGACTCATTCCTACTTACCTTTTGCACAATGCCGCCGATCCAATTAACGCCCAAGGGCGTCACTAGTAAATCCGTGCATTCCTTCACCATACAAGGAACTAGGTTAATTATTTAAAATTTGTGTATATATGTGTAAAGTCGAATGTAGACAAAAGTATAAAAAAGTTTTTGTACAAAGATTCAATTCGTTAGGTCTCATAGTTTTCGAGAAGAAATCGAATTTATAATACATCTCATCATTCTCCAGGCATAGACTAGACGGTACTCGGCGTTTTCCGTTAGGCTGAGTTTATGCATGCAGATGATAGTTTAGTTGGCAGTGCCCGGTATATAGGCCTAGAGTTTTCAGGCTTACCCTGTTTAAAATTTTTTAGTTCTTGATTTCAAAGGGTATTTTATAAACGCCCTCGAATGAACTAATCCTGGTAACTCTTGCCAATACTGGAGAGTTTTCCTTTCAGCCGAGGTTGAGATAGCCATCATAGCAGTATTTGAAGATATGCCAAGTATCGGTTCTGGTCTGATGATTCGTGATCCCGCTCCTTCTCTGGCCAAGGAGTCGGTTACTGCGTTACCTTCCATACCAGAGTAGCCGGGTATCCTGACCAGAGTCACTTTACTGTTTTTGCTCAAATAATTTAGAGCCTTCTAACAGTTCCATACCATTTTGAAGTTACAGCGGTAAGAGCCAAGAGCTTTTATAGCTGCTTGGCTATCTGAAAAAATTTTGATTGATCTGCGTGTAAGATGCATATATTCCAGTCTTCGCACACATAGTTCAATGGCATGAACCTCGGGCTGAAAAATAGTTGCATTAGTAGCTAGTCTTGAGGATATCCTCACCCTTGGTCTGTAGCTATGTACTCCGGCTCCTGGTCCCTCAGGAGTTTTGAAGTTGTCTGTAAACCAGCAACTGTCTGTCCTCAGTAGGTCGGTTTTATTCCGATCCCACTCATTTCTTTCTGGAAAAAGGATGTTGAAGGTCAGCTCGTAGTTGGTCATGGTAGGCATAGTATCCGAGGGCATTCCCAGGATTCTGTGATTCTCTACGTCATCCAGTAACATGTTCCGCTCCATGATACTAGTCTGCGGCATATTAATGGCCTCTTGTTGCAGTTTATATGTTGTCCACCTGGCCTCCATTACGGTCAAGCATGCTAATCTCTAATCCAGAAAATTTGGCTTTGACCGTTATAAAAAGTACCTGTTTGCATGCAAGTTAATTTTTATTGTTTCTTCTTTCGTGCTCTCTTACAAAATAAACACATTTTACATATATCAAAAAGTCAGTACTTCAAGTCCGAAGCTGTCCATTTAAAGTGCTCGGCAAAGCAAAG